CATTCCCCCACACCTTTGTTAAAAGCTTAGTGGACGTTTTCTTCATTAAAATATTATTATAATTTCAGTTCTGTCCATCCCTCCAATAAGAACCCCTGAACATAAAGTTCATTCTCATCCTCCTTTGAGTACATGATATACTTTCAAACATACTTGCATTTGTTTCTAGTTTTACAAATATGGCTCCCCCAAGAAAATAGTCATACTTATCATACCTCTTACGATTAGATCTTTATAAGGGAGACTGCAGAGGTGACATAGTGTCTGAAGCAAGCTTATTTGTTGTTTGAATAGTCAATATTTCTGGCAACACTCCATAAAGTTTAAACACTTGCTACCCCTGTTAGTATTTTGATTATAAATAAATCAGGGTTCAAGCCACATCTTAGTGTCTGTTCAGACACTCTGAAGCAGCAGTCATTATGGAAATATAAGATTTTCCTTGGGGAGACCTCTGTGAAGGAAGAAAATCTAAAAGGATAAAGGAACAGGAAGGGGGAGCAGGAGGGACTGACTTCTTAATAAAATATCAAGTTGTCTCCCCAGTAAAAAGGGCCATTATTAAAGACATAAAAGTACCCAGATGTTGTGGTTCTTGCCTGCAATCTTAGTGCTTGGGAGGCTGAGGCAGGAGGATCAAAGTTTGAGACTAGCCTGAGCTACATAGTGTTGTGTTCAGTTTGGGATAATTAAGGAGACTTTTCCTAAAACATCAAAATATACCCAACCCAACCAATCCAAACCAGCATCCCCAAAAGTGATAATACAGCCATTATGGAAAACAGAGCTACCATAGGATCCAGCAATCCCACTACTGAGAATATTGCCAAATGACATGCAGTGTGTATGTTAAAGTGAAATCTGCACTTTCATGTGCTTTGCAGCACTGATCATAATTCCTGAGAGATGGAAGAGGCCTAAGTGTCCATCATGTAGGGAATGGATGAAGAAAATGTGGTACATATACAGAATGGAATATTATGTAGCCATGAAAAGACAGAAGTCCTGTCATTTGCAACAGTACAGCTGAGCCTGGAGGACATTATGTTAAGCATAATAACAAAGGCACAGGAAGAAGGCTCTGCATGCTCTCATTCATGTATACGGAATCTGAAACAATGATGTAGGCTTTGAGAGGTGGTCCGAGGTTATTAGAGGCTGTGGAGAAAATCCCTGGAAATGATGACAAGTGGTGTGAAGTTTTAGTCCTGTGTGAGTAAGGAGTTCTCATGAGCCACGGCACAGTGTGATGACTAAGGACTGAAGGTGTACTGTGTGCTCCAAAGGCTAGAAGAACAGATTTTGGGTTTTCATCACAGAGAAATGATAAATGTTTGAGGACATAGGTATGTTCACTCTGATGCAAATATCACACGATGGATACATTTATTTTTGGAATTTTTATTAGCATATATACATTGTATAAAGCACTTTGGTTTGATTGTATGCAACATACATAGAAGGTACTTTATTTGAATCTCTTTTGGTTCTTAATTATCCCTTTTTTTTCAAATAATCTCAATGGTTTCATTATTCTACTTTACACATGCATATAAAGTCCTATGATTTCATTCTTCCTGCTTCACTCTCACCTTTTCCCTCTGCATTCAAGTGGCTCCACTTCAAAAAGTCCCTGTTTGAGACTCTTGTCACTCAGTTTTTAGGTCTAGATTCCATAAATGAGAGAATATATGATAGTGTTACCACTTTATCCCATTAGTTTATAGTTTTATGTTAAATTAATTTAAATAAATATTAATATTTCTTAAAAAGCTACTGTGCTTCTTTGCAAGAAGAATGGAGTTGAAGAAGGATGGATGGAGTAGCCTCAGCTGCGGTGCAGTGCTGAGAAAGTACCATCCAGGTTGATGAAAGCTCCAGAGCAAAGTTCTCCCAGAGAGGAGCTCCACATTAGGCAGAAATGCCCTAGCTCTGACTCCTTCAGTAATGTCACTTATTGGACTGGAACAGCTTGGAAACGTGTTTGATTGTTAGCTTGTTGCAATAGAAACCACAATGGCAACCACAGGGGGCTGTGAGCCAACTGCATTCCAAGGAACAAATGACATCTCGAGGACATGCAGGGTTAGCTCTTCCCATCCCTTGAAACCTTCATTGAATCTTTCATTGTGCTCACAGTTTTTGTTTAAGCAGGGGCCCGTTTTAATTTGCTAATCTCTTTGCTTCTAGAATACAATTGAAGCTAACTTTATAAGTTTAAATAAATTATTGTTTGTAATGAAATTCCTGCAAACCAACCATGCTGCCATGTTTTTTTGGGGTTTTTTTTTTTGTTGTTGTTGGTACTGGGGTTTGAACTCAGGGCCTCCCAGTGGCTAGGTGGGTGCTCTACCACTTGAACCATTCCACCAGCCCTTTTTGTGTTGTTTGTATTTTCTTTTTTTTTCATGATAAGTTTAGCAAACTTTTTGCCCAGGCTGTATTTGCCATATTCTGAGGAAAACAAAATAGTAAATATTATGTATCAAGTGCAATTATGAATAGAGAGAGGATCATAGACTTCAGTATAGACTTCTCAAGGGATTTATAACAGAGACATGTCAATGTTAAGCCTAACTATTATCCATGAAGAATAGTAGCTCATTTGTATTACTATATGCACTTTATTATTTCTCTTGCCTTGTGTAACTAGCCAGGACTTGCATAAATTTAATGCATAGTGATGAGAAGAACTGTGCTCTTTACTGCAAATGCTAGGAGCAGAAGGTTTCTAATATTTCACTATTAGCTATAAATGGGGGTGGACATATTTGTAAATATGTTTTAGCAGACTGGGCACTTTCCATTCTGTGTGGTCACTTCTGAGATTTTTATCATAAAACTGTACTTAATTTTATTGATATTTTGTTTTTATTGAGAGGTTTGCATTATGCTCTTTTTGCCAATCTGTGATTGATTCACAATCATTAAGTTTAATTTGTGCCTCAGACATAAAACTGATCATTCATAATATTTTATTCTTACTGATTGTTTTAGTGTCTCAGTTTTTTTATAAGTGTATTTTAATTTCACAAAGCAATGCTTCTCATTGTGACATTTTCATACAAGTATATGAGGCATTTTTATCATATTTATCCACCATTACCTATACTTATTTCCTCTGGTCCTTCTCACACATCCTATTTCTAATCCCTAGCATTCCCACTTTCACTTTCAAGAACATCTATTTTCACCTGAATTCCAAATATATGACACTTGTCATCCCAGATCTGGATTATGTCACTTAACATGATGATCTTCTGTTCCCCCTCTTTTCATAGAAATGAAGTAATTGTTCTTCTTAATGGGTGAATAATACTCCATTGCATATTTTCTTTATCCATTTGTCCATTGATGGGAACCTAGGGTGATTCCATGATTTGGCTCTTCTGTATACTGCCTCAATAACCATGGGTATGCAGATATCTCTAGTGGATGCTGATTTAATTTCTTCAGGTATGTACAAGATTGGTACAGTGGAAAGAAATGCTAGTTCTACTTTAGTTTTTAGATGAAGCTGCATACTGATTTGCATAGTGCCTAGACTCATTTGCACCCCAAATTGTGTTTAAAGTTTCCATTTTCCCCACATCCTCACCAACACTTTTTTGTTTCTTGTTTTCATGATGGTAGCCATTCTGACTGGGATGAGATGGAATCTCAATTTAATTTTGACTTGCATTTCTCAATGCCTAAGAAGGTAGAATATTGTAAATGTACTTATTGGTCATTTCTATTTCTTCCTTTTCAAAGTGTCTGTTCATTTATTTTCTCACTTATTTATTAGACCATTTCTGTTTTGGTGTTCAATTTTTTTAGGTCTTCATATAACCTGGACATTGATCATTCCTCAGATGAGTAGCTGTTAAAGATTTGCTCCTATTTTGTAGGACATATGTCCATTCTGTTATTTCTTTTTCTGTGGACAAACTACTTAATTAAATTTAATCACATTTGTAAATTTTTGTTATTTTTTCCTAAACTATTGGAGTCATATGCAGAATGAATATGCCTATTCCTATATCCTGAAGTGTTTCTCCTATTTCCCTCCAGTCATTTCTAAGTTTTAGGTCTCACATTAATGTTTTTGATCAATTTCGGGTTGATGTTTATGCAGGTCAGGCATAGAGATCAAGTTTCAGTCTTCTACATGTTGGTAATCATTTGTGCAAACACACTTGGTAAATAAATCATTTTTTCCAGAATGGAAGTTTTAGGTGACTATGTCAACACTCAGGTGAATTTACTATGTGGGCTTATTTCTGGTTCTTCTATTCTCTTCCATTGGTCTATGTGTTGACTTATGCCAGTGTCATGCTGTTTCTGTTACTATAGATCTGTAGTATAAATTTGGGGTTGGATATTGTGATACCTCCAGTGTTGCTTTTGTTGCTCATTATTTCTTTGATTATGCAGGGTCTTTTATGCTTCCATGTAAACTTTACAATATTTTTTACTTTCTTTGTGAAGAATGTCATTGGATTTTGATGCCCATCAAATGTAATATATAGGGGAAATGCAAATAAAAACTACATTGCAATTCTCATTACAATTTCTCATTAAGAAAACAAAGCACAGCAAATGCTGGCAATGTCAGGCACTGCAGCCACTATGGAAATGTATATGGAGGTTCAATAAAAGACTAACAGTGGTACTACCATATCATCCAGCCATGTCACTCCCTAGTATAATCCCATGGAAATCAAAATAGGTACACAATAAATGTATCTGTGTATTAGTGTTTACTGTGGCTCTGTTCATAATAGCTGTGCCATAGCATTGGTGTAGGTACCCATGAATTCATGAATGGATAACAAAACATGGTTCATGTACATAATGGATTATTATTCAGTTATTACAAACAAAAATGGATTTTAGGGACAAGAAGGAGATGGACTGACATCACCCTACACTCTTTCTCATGGAAACACCTTAATGAATATATATTCCTGCATCTAGTTCCCTGAGGAACTGCTAACAAAGTTATTGGTGGTGGTAAAATGTTTCTAATCCATCAGTGTCCTGTGAAAAGTAACAGCCAATATGAATCTCTGACCCATGGTGCAGAAGATGTGATGGGCCCAGTAACTGCTGACAACACAAATTCACAAGCCAGAGGCATAGAAGCTGTGGTGAGTCCAGAAATCACCAAAAACATGAATCCATGATCTGGGGTGCAGAAGCTGGGGTGGTCCTGAGCACAGCCTCAAACATAGCAGAGAAAGTAGTAAGAGGACAAATAGATCGTAAATCCACCTAAATACAAATCCCTACAGAGACAAAAGATTGAACCCCTAGCCTGGACAAGGTACAGCTGTACCTTCCAAGAGTTCCAAGAAATCTCAGTAGTGCCCACCTTAACACTGGAAAGTACAGCATAAAATATCCCATATGGAAAAGTATGAACAGTGGGACAGACAACTGTTTGTCTGAATTAGAGGGGATTTGAGAGAAGAACATACAAGTGTACTGGGAACTGTGTGACACTGAGGACTGAGGATTCAGACATCACAAGCCTTCCCTGGAGATTGTATTGTTGAGATCTCATCCCCCTCTTTTGTTGGAAAATAAAATCATTTGGATAGCATTCTATGATCAATTCTCAAACCCAATTGCAATCTATTATTTGAAAGACTGATACTCTGAGGGGGGAAGTAGCTGTTTGAAAAGTTCTTTTTTTAATAGTTGCCCAGGAAAGGAACTGAAATTCTGATTTTTAATAAGTATGTTTCTTTTTGTCACTGTTTGGTTTTTAGTTTTTGATCTTTTTTTCCATTTGTTTGTATTGATATTTTTAGTGTAGCTAATAGGATAACATTATACCCTGCCTCATTTTCCTTTTAGTTTTTCTCTTCCTCCCTTCCTTTATTCTGCTGTCATTGTATGTAAACCATGATACCTGCCTTTCACTGACCAATCTTAAACCATACCCTATTCCTCCCTTTCCTATTACCTTTCCCCATGGTACTTTCCTTCTCCCTATCATTAGAACTTCCCTATTACTCACATTCCACCTCTATTTCTATCTCCCTCCAATAAGTTTTCTTTGTTACTCACACTTCTAGCAGGTAATTAGATTGCCAGATTGTCTTTTATGTCTGTTTAATTTCCTTCATTTCTATCCTCTCTTCCCAACACATTAATTAAGTCTTTTCTATGAAATCACTGCACTTTGTCATTAACCTCTTTAATAAGCTAAGCCACAACCCCTTCCTGCCTTAAGAAAACCACACACTTCTTTATTATTTGTAAGTGTTATCCCCTTATCTCCTTCTCATTACAACCCTTATTATTAAGGACTTGCAAAATCAGGAAGGCTCATCTTTGCTTCTTATTCATCTAAATATGCTGGAGCAGAAGTGGTGACTGACTTTATTAATATTCCATAATATCAGAATTGTGGTTTATCACCTGTGATAGCTTTTGCAGCTAAGTTTATGTTTTCTGAGTAGAGTATGAGGCTGCATCCAGTATCTTGATCATTGAAGTCAAATGTTTGACTATGGAGACTCACACCTCAAATCTATTGAAAAGAAAATACATAACAACTCAGCCATTGCTCAGTTTTAAATAATCTTTGATAAATTTCAAACTAAAAGGTAATGGAAGATTGAAATGTCTACTGAAAAGCTTGGCCCTACATGCATAAACAGCAGCATAGAAACATAAGTTTCATGGAAAGACACAGCAATATGCCTCCTTCAAATCCAACAACTCCACAATAAAGGACTTCAATGATGGTGAAGAGGAAATTATTTAAAACAACAAATTAAAAACCAATAAGAATCTTCAATGAAATTAAAGAGGTGTGTAAGCAGCTGAGTGAATTCTAAGATGTTATAAATAACCAACTGAACTGAAAGAAAATTCAGATAAATGACTGAATGGAATAAAAAAGATAATTCAAGGTATGAAGGATTCAGTAAAAATACAGAAGTCTTGAAAATTTATATCTTGGAATTAAAAAGCTAAATAACCCAAATAAAAAATTCAATAAAATTCTGGCTCATAGAATGGAGCACAGTAAAAAGAGTTTCATGGATTGAAGGTAAAGTAGAGTTATTAGATCCATTAATCAAAGATACTAAAAAAGAAAGAAAGAAAGAAAAAGAAAGAAAGAAAAAGAAAGAAAGAAGAAAGAAAGAAAGAAAGAAAGAAAGAAAGAAAGAAAGAAAGAAAGAAAGAAAGAAAGAAAGAAAGAAAGAAACACGAATGTGACATGGAAGTCTTCTGAGAAATCAATAAAAGACCAAATCTAAGAATCTTGAGTGCAGAAGAAGAAGAGATACAAATAAAAGGTGCAGATAACTTAGTCAATAAAATAATACCATACAACTTCCCCATTCAAGAAAGAGAGGTACATCCAAGCATAGGAGGCTTTCAGAACAGCACACTAGAAAAATCAGAAACACCCATGGACATAATATAATTAAAACACTAACCATATGGTACAAAGAAAATACTGAAAGCTGCAAAAGAAAAGTGACAGGTCACATATGAAGGCAAATCCATTAGGATAACAGCAGATCTCAACACAAAGTCTAAATGCAAGGAAGGCTTGTAATGATATATTTCAAGTTCTACAAGAAAAAAATTGTCTACTTAGATTAGTGTATCCAGCAAGTCTATTCTTTTCTTCTGTCATATTTGTTTTGTTTTCCTTTTCTCCTTTTATTTTGTCATTTTCACCTCTACTTACATGTATGTACATTATGCCACCTCTCCCCACCCCCACCCCTAATAACCTGCACTTCCGGACAGAACCTGTTCTGCCCTCTTCTTCTCTGATTTTGTTAAAGAGAAATTGTACAAGATAATAAGAAAGACATGTCATTTTTGCTAGTTTGAGATAAAGAGCTATACAGAAAGACTCCTAGTATTGCTTCCATGCACTTGTGTATTGCAACCCACATTGGTTCATTTCTACCAGACCTCATCACCACTTCCTGGTCCCCTTCCCATAGTGGTCTCTACCAATTTAAGATTACTTTATTCGTTCCTCTACAGTGAGCACATCAACCACATTCAAGTTTTAGGTTTCCTTCCCTTACCATATTCCTCCTGTGCATGTTTTCCCCCTAGTGTGTGACCCATGTCAAATAATATTGCTGCCTTTGTTTTGGGTCTATAATCTGTATGTGAGGGAGAACATGCAATTTTTGGTCTTCTGAGCCAGGTTAACTTCATTTAAGTTGATGTCCTCTAGTTCCATCCATTTACTTGCAAATGGCAAAATTTCACTCTGTGGCTGAATAAAATTCCATGTGTACAAATACCACAATTCTTGATCCATTTATTGGTTGTGGGGCATCTTGGCTGTTTCCATAGTTTAGCTATTGTGAATAGTGCTACAATAAGCAGGGGTGTGCAGGTGCTTTTGTAATAACTTGAGTAGCGTTCCTTCCAGTATATCTCTAGGAGTTGTATTGCTGGATCATATGGCAGATCTATATTTAGTTTTTTAAGGAGCATCCATATTGTTTTCCAAAGTGGTTGTACTAGCTTACATTCCCACCAGCAGTGAATGAGGGTTCCTTTATCCCATGCATTCTCACCAACATTTGGTGGTGGTGGTGTACTTGATGGTAGCTGTTTTAACAGGGGTGAGGTGGAATCTTAGCATGGTTTTGATTTCCATTTCCTTTATGGCCAGGGATGGTAAGTATTTTTCCATGCATGTTTCAGCCATTTGGATTTCTTCCTTAGAAAAATATCTGTTAGTACAATTGCCCACTTTATTATTGGTTCATTCATTTTTGAGGAGTTTAGTTTTTTGAGCTCTCTGCATATTCTGATTACCAGTCCTTTGTCTGATGTATAGCTAGGAAATATTTTCTCCCACTCTAGAGTGTTCTCTTCAATTTAGAGACCATTTCTTTTGTTGTGCAAAAGGTTTTTAATTTTATGAAGTCTCATTTGTCCATCTTTTCTCTTAGTTGCTGGGCTGATGGGCTTCTTCTGAGAAACCCCTTGCCTATACCTATTGTTTGCAGGATATTGTCTAATCTTTCTTGTACTAACTGCAAGGCTTCAGGTCTGATATTAAGTTCCTTAATCCACTTTGAGTTGATACCAGTACAGAGTGACAGGCGTTGATCGAGTTTCAGTTTTGTACAGTCAGATAACCACGTTTCCCAGCAACATTTGTTGAAGGTGGTGTCTTCTCCATCCTATGTTTTTGGTGCCTTTGTCAAAAATAAGGTGGGTGTAGTTGTGTGGATTCATATCCTCTATTCTGTTGCACTGGTCTTTATATCTGTTTTTGTGCCAGTACCATGTTGTTTTTATTGCTGTTTTTCTGTAGTATAGTTTGAAGTCAGGTATTGTGATACTACCAGCATTTAACTTTTTGCTCAGTATTGCCTTGGCTATTTGCAGTCTTTTGTGTTTCCAAATGAAATTTAGGGTACATTTTTCAATCTCTGTGATTAATGTCATTGGGATTTTGCTGGGAATTGTGTTGAACATGCTTTTGGGATTGCTTTTGGTAGTATTGCCATTTTTACTATGTTGATTCTACCAATCCATAAACATGAGAACTCTTTCCATCTTCTGTAGTCTTCCTCCATCTCTTACTTTAGTGATTTGTGTTAGTTCTCCCTGAAGAGGTCATTTATTTCCTTCATTAAGCTTACTCCTAGGTATTTAATTTTTTTGAGGCTATTGTTTTCATATATTATTTGTTAACTTGTTCATTGTTGGTGTATAAAAAGGTAGTGATTTTTTAAGTTGATTTTATATTCTGCTACATTGCTGAAGCTGTTTATGGTATCCAGAAGTTTTTGGGTAGAGTTTTTTGGATCTTTGAGGTATAGACTCATGTTGTCTGCAAACAGGGATATTTTGAGAGTTTCTTTACCTATTTGTATTCCTTTTCTTTCTTCTTCTTGCCTTATTGCTCTTGCTTGGAATTACAAGACAATATAGAATAGGAGTTGGGAGAGTGGGCACCCTTGACTCATTCCTGAGTTTAGGGGAAATGGTTTCAGTTTTTCCCCATTAAATATGATGTTGGCTAAAGGTTCGTCATATATGGCCTTTATAATGTTGAGGTACATTCCTTTTGTTCCTAGTTTCTTAGATCTTTTATCATGAAGGGGTGTTGAATCTTATCAAAGGCTTTTTCTGCATC